GGGGCACGAGACTAGAACAAAGCTTGCTTCGTTGTGGCTAAGTGACGAAAATTGAGTTAACACGGCCGATTATTGTGTGAATCTACGAAGTGTGTTTAGAAAATTATATCTTTACAAAGAAAGAAGGTCATGCTTTGATTTTTGCCATGCAAACAGATATTGTGATGATCTATATCTAGTGCAAAAATCACTGGAAAATCATGTTTAGTTTTCAAAATATAACTGTCCGAAGTTTGATTAGTCCGATAATTGATTAATTACTCTAGACCAAGCCTGGTGGGTGGCGGTCGTCTATCTTCAGAAAGAGATCTGGAGACGTCGACTAGAGGAGAAGGTCACTTACCACTGACTAGAAGAGGCAGAGCTCCACCTGTAGAGTTGTTCTCTGGAGAGGACAGTGAGACTACATTGGAAGATTGGTTGCCTTCTCTGACACGGGCAGCAGAATGGAATGGTTGGAGCGAGGAAGAAAGGTTGATACAGTTAGCTGGTCATTTTACTGGGAGAGCTAGACAAGAGTGGAATCTGATGTCATCAGAGGAAAAGGCTAGCTATCAGAGGAGTATTAAAGTTCTGGCAACTAGACTTGATCCAGGGAGTAAGGTGTTGGCTGCTCAGGATTTCCGACATATCGCCCAAGAAGAGAGAGAGAAGGTCAGCGATTTTATATGTAGACTAGAGAAGACGTTTCGTAAAGCATATGGTAATGATGTGTTATTGCCAGACACCCGCGATGCTTTATTGTACGCCCAGTTACAGGAAGGGTTATGTTATGAGTTGATGAAAGCCCCATCTGTGTCGGGTGCATTAGATTACAAAACATTATGTATAGCTGCCAAGAACGAGGAAAAGAGGGTGGCTGAATTACGTAAGAGGAGACAGTATCAGACAACCAGCCAGACAAGAATGAGCAGTAAGAGGTCATCACCTAGAGGTGACAATGCTCCAGACAGGGATAGACAGACGTCTGGTGGGATGGCAAACAGAGCAGGTGGTGGTCAGGTGCCAACTAATGATCAAGTGTCAAGGAAAGAATCAAGGAAGTGTTGGAACTGTGGGCTAATGGGACACGTGTCGGTCAATTGTCCTAAACCTCGGAAGGAGAGTCCTGGCAATCATCGTAATGCTAGAGCCAATATGGTTGGAACTGAGACCCAGGGAAGTATACCTGAGGATCCCTTAACTTATCTATTGTCAGATTCCGACTCTGACTCTGGAGGTGTCAATGAAGTAAGAATAGAAGACCGAGGTAGTGCACCAAGGAGAGTCAAGGTGGCAGTAGGAGGGGTACCACTGCAGGGTATTATTGACACTGCTGCAGATATCACTATTATGGATGCTGATTCCTTCAAGAAGGTAGCTACCGTCTGCAAACTAAGGAAGAAGGACTATAAGCCCGCTGATAAGACCCCATTCAATTATGACCGGAGGACATTTCACTTAGATGGTAGGATTGAGGTGGACATCTCATTTGGAGAGCACACTATGAAGACTACAGTCTACATCAAGCTGGATGCTAGTGAGCCATTGCTGTTATCGGAA